GGGCAGTGTTTCGTTCTGCTGTGCATGGGGTCGCTATGAGTTAGAAACAACTCGACGGCACTTAACAACATAACAACAACAAGAGAAGCAGAAATTAAGGGAATTTGTTAAAAACCAGACCAACCTTATAAGAGATGCTAAAGAGAGTCCTTTGGACAGAGAACCAACAACAGCAAACAACATATGACCATTAACACACATGGCAACATAATCCAGAAACCAACCCAGCTATGGAAATATCCAAAGTAAATAAGCCTACAAGATTGTAAATAGGGAACCAGAGACATCAATTGACAAGTGAGGGCAACTACAAAAATGGAAAAAATTGTATAGTTACAGAAGTTCTAAATTGTAGGGGAATCAAGACAACTACAAGATAGAACAGACTGTTCTAAACTTGAGAAGAAAACTATAAATCACAGGGTACCTCAAAGAAAAATTATAAACCTTCACATCAAAAAAGAGGACCAGCACAAATACTTAGCAAATACTAAAACAATAGCATCAAAGGAAGTGATAACACAATTCAGAAACAAAACAAGCTCAGCATAATTACGTGGAACAAAGAAATCAACACGATGAAAAACACGTAAGAAAATGACAGCAACAAATTCATACTTGTTGATAATTACATATCTGGCAAAAGACTTATCTCTTAAGATTTATATAAAACTCCCAATACCTCAACAGCAGAGGAATTACGAATCCAATTGAAAAATGGTCAGAAGACATGAATAGACACTTCACCAAGGAGGATATTCAGGTGGCCAGCAAATATATGAAGAGATGTTCGTGATCATTGGTCATCAGAGAAACGCAAATCAAAACAACAATGAGATACCATCTTGCCCCAGCACTGATGGCAGTGGGTCAGAAAATAACAAATGCTGGCAGGGATGTGGAGAGATTGAGATACTCATACATGATGGTAGGACTGTAAAGTGATACAACCACTGTGGAAAGCAGTATGGCAATTCCTTAGGAAGCTGGAATTGGAGATACCATTTGACCCAGCAACCCCATTATGAGGTATATATCCTAGAGAGGTGAAAGCCAGAACAGGAACAGATATATGCACTCCCATGTTCATCGCAGCACTATTTACAATAGCAAAAAGCTGGAAACAACCTATGTGCCCATCATTGGAAGAGTGGCTGACCAAACTATGGTACATACACCCAATGGAATGCTATGCAGCACTAAAGAATAATGTAAAGTCTGCAAAACACCACATAACATGGATAAACTTGGAGGACATTATGCTGAGTGAAATAAGTTAGTCACAGAAGGACAAATACAGTATTAATTTGTCGTATGGCGGTCAAGGAAAGGTTTATAAATGGAGGGAAACTTTCTTTGTTGTTTGCCAGGGGCAGGAGGGTTAGAGAAGGAACAATGGAAAAAAAAATGCCTTGACCCATGTCACTTTAATTTTGTGTATTTTCCTGTACATGAATTATATTTCAATAAGATGCATTAAAAAAAAAAAAAAGAAACTATTGGTTTTGAAGGAAGAAGTTCAAGCTGCACTGAAGAGACTGGCGAAAAACAAGGCTTCAGGAATTGGTGGAATACTCCATTGAAATGTTTCAGCAAATGGATGCAATGCTGGATGTGCTTACTCATTTATGCCAAGAAACTGGAAGACAGCTACATGGCCAACCAACTGGAAGAGATCTGGATTTGTGCCCATTCCAAAGAAAGGCGATCCAAAAGGATGTAGAAGTTATCAAACAATATGAATATACGTAAGTGGAATTTCCCGAAGATAATTCAAAAATGGTTGCAGTAGTATATTAGTAGGGAACTGCCAGAGATTCAAGCTGGATTCAGAAGAGGACACTGATATCATTGCCGATGTCAGATGAATCTTGGCTAAAAGCAGAGAACTCTAGAAGTTTCGTTACCTGTGTTTTATTGACTCTGCAAAGGCATTTGACTGTGTGGGTCATAGCAAATTATAGATAATATTATGAGGAATGGAATTCCAGAACACTTAATTGTGCTTATGAGGAACCTGTACATAGATCAAAAGGCTTTCATTCCAACAAAACAAGGAGATGCTGCATGGTTTAAAATCAGGAAGGGTATGCATCAAGGTTGTATCCTTTCATCATACTATACTTGTTCAGTCTGTATGCTGAGCAAATAATTGAAGAATACAGCGTCAGGATTGGGGGAGAACTCATTAAAAATCTGCGATATGCAGATGACACAGTTTTGCTTGCTGAAAGTGAAGGTGATTTGAAGTACTTACTGATGAAGATCAGAGACTATAGTCTTCAGTATGGTTAACACCTCAACATAAAACAAAAATCCTCAAAACTGGACCAATAAGCAAAATCATGATAAAAGGGAAAAAGATTGCAGTTGTTAGGAATTTCATTTTAGTTGGATCCACAATCAACACTCATGGAAGCAACTGTCAAGAAATCAGATGTTGTATTACACTGGGCAAATCTGTTGCAAAAGACCTGTTTAAAGTGTTAAAGATCAAAGATGTCACTTTGAAGACTAAGGTGAGCCCAACCCAAGCCATGATATTTTCAGTCGCCTCATATGCATGTGAAAGCTGGATGATGAATAAGGAAGACAGAGGAAGAGTGGATGCCTTTGAATTGTGTTGTTGGCTAAGAATACTGAAAATACTATGGACTGCCAAAAGAATGAACAAATCTGTCCTGCAGGAAGTACAAACAGAATACTCCTTGGAAGCGAGAATGGCTGGACTTTGTCTCACCTCCTTTGATCACATTGTCAGACTTTGGTCATGTTGTCACACCATTCCCCAGAGAAGGGTATCATGCTTGATAAAGTAGAGGATCAGCCAAAAAAGGAGAAGACCCTCAATGAGGTGAGGTGGATTGACACAGTGGCTGCAAAATGGGCTTAAGCATAGCAAGGCTTGTGAGGATGGCTCAGGACCAGGCATTGTTTCATTTTGTTGTATATAGGGTCACTATGAGTCACAGCCAACTCGATGGCACCTAACAACAGCAAATCCAACCCTCTTGGTAGGCCATAAGCACCTTACATTTGCATAGTCCCACCCAATTATCTGGTGGGAGTCACAAAGACCATGGCTGTACAAGCCATATTAAGTAATTCACGGTACCCCCGCGTACATATATTCCTTTACTTTTTGTGATGGAGAATTTAAAAAATAGACCAAGAAATTCCTTCTCATACCGTCATCCATTTTCCCTCCTGAAAGATAAGATGTAGAAATAAATTCTAAGTACAATTCATTCATTCCATTTATAAATACTAATACTTTTATATCATCAAAAATTTTAATGAGTCTGCTATAAGATTACTAAAAAATGATTATTTTTGTTTCGCTGACAGCATCAGTTACAGAACTAGAAATGAAGTTTTCTTGTTTAAAAAATATAATGCTGAAATCTAGTTAGAAAAGTGCTTTGCCTTGGCAACTTGTAATAGATGTTGCTCTTTGTACTTTAGCATAGTAGATTCTTCATTTACAAGTAGTTTTCTTCAGCACAGCCAGTATATTCTATCTTGCCTTTCTGGAACTCAGAATTTTTTCTCCTCTCAGACTGCTTTCCTTTAATCTTTCAAGGTATGGCATAGGATATGCTTTTTACTTATTTGACTCACACAGTGACCCTGTGAGATACACAGGGCTATTGTTATTAAATTTTATACAGTTAACCTAAGATTCAGTGAAGTGAACATTGCCAAGTAATTAGTTTCTCATAGAACTAAGACTAGAACTCTAGTCTATTCAGTTTAAATTCTGTCCTTTAAATTAGATTGCTTATGGATCCATTAAAATTCCAAATTTAACTTTCTTTTACCTGTCCATTATTATTTTTTTCATTATGTATGTCTCATAATTTTTATATAGTTGACAACTAAGTGAGAGAGGTGCATTTTCACACAGTGTTTTAAATATTAAAGAGTATATACAAAGTTTACCAGTGGCTTATTTTTCAATATCAAAGCACCACAGAAATCCTTGGGCCATGAAGTGAATGAGTTGACATCAAGTAGATTATTGAAGCTGGAGATGGAAAACCAGACTTTAGCAAAAACTGTAGAAGAGCTACGTAGTACTGTGGACTCTGTAGAAGGAAACGCTTCCAAAATCCTGAAAATTGAAAAGGAAAATCAAAGACTAAATAAAAAGGTAAATAAAAATTTAACGTTTAATGTAACGCTTAAAAATATATGCAAAAGTATAAATTAATGGCATCATGGTAGAATATTTAGTTTTTAGTTTTTTAATATGCCCTCGATATTGTTTTAAATTACTATGGATATTTTCAAACATACATAAATATGGAAAGAGCGAAGAACCCCTTTGTATTCATTACTCATTCAGCTTTATCTATTATTAACTTACAGATAATCTTATTTTATTTGTACTCCTACCTGTTCTCCCCAGCACCACTAGATGATTTTGAAGCAAATCCTACACATATCCTTCATCCAGAAATATTTCAGTATATATCTCTAAAAAAATAAATACTTTTGAAAACAAGAACTGTTAGATTATCACACTTAAAAAATTAATAGTTCCTTAAAAGCATCAAAAATTTGGTCAATATGTTTTAGTTTCTCTAATTCACTATTTGGATTTTATTCTGTACTCAGTGATATGCTTTGTTTTGACATGTTTCCACTGTTGTAAAATATTTAATGATAATTTTTTTGTGATTTAATTTTTTCTAGGTTGAAATTCTTGAAAATGAGATTATTCAAGAAAAGCAAAGTCTTCAGAATTGTCAGAATTTAAGCAAGGATCTCATGAAGGAGAAAGCTCAGCTTGAAAAAACAATAGAAACACTTAGAGAAAATTCAGAGAGACAGGTTCATAAATTTCTTACTAACTGAGAAAAATATAAATTTACAATTTTATTTACAAATGTTTTAAAGTTTCATAAATAAAATGTTCATATAACATTACGAAAAAATATTTCCAATTTTTTCATATTTTAAAGTAATTATAGCAGTTATAGGAGGTCTGGTGGCATAGTGCCTAAGGCATTTGACTGCTAACCAGAAGGTTGGCGGTTCAAACCCACCAGCCACTCCTCAGAAGGAAGATTGGGCAATCTACTTCCATAGTGATACTACCTCAGAAACCCAAGGAGGGGTCTCTATGAGTCGGGACCAACTCAACAGCAGTGAGTTTGGTTTTGATACAGCAATTATACCTCATTTTCTATCCCATGTATTTTAGAAAAGTTGAATGGAAAGCTTAGAATTTTTTAAATTGCCTGTGTGCTTAATAATCATGTATAAAAATTTTAGAGCTAGGTTGCTTTGAATTGGAATTGATCTTACAGCAGCCAAGAACAACATGATATATTTAGTACCATTTATACCTTCAAAAAGTCTCTGTGGAATAAAAAATAGGACTGCATATTCTAAAGTCTCTGAATAGAGTTAGGGAGATATTCATCTATACTGTGACCCCACTTATATAGGGAGAAATGTGGTGATCAGTAGTACTCTTAGATATTACTAAATTTGCTTAAAGGTTTTTATGGGTCATTCTCATATTATTCTTAAGAAAATAGAAAACTGAATAAACTGGGTAACTTGCCATTTTTTTCTTTTTTTTTTGCAAGTAAAATGAATTCTTTATTTTATATTGTCTAGTTATTAGTCCTCAGGCTACCTATATCATAATCACCTCTTAGGGTGCTGGTAAAAATGCAAATTTCTCTAGACCTACAGAATAAAGATTCTAGAACTAACTAAGCCCAAATCTATACTTTCACAAGCTTTTTGGGGAATTGCTTCACACACTACATTTTAAAAACTGTAAAATTGACCCAGTTCTCAGACGTACCAGGTACTTTCATTATTTTGGAGTTTGCTAATTAGAATTCTTTTTCAAAATGAATACACACACATACATCCCCCCCCCACACACACACAGCAACTATTTATTGAAGACTCACTGTGAATAGGCATTTGTAGAGATTATTTAATGAAGATAAAAGTGTATCTTTTTAAGGAGGGCTGTGTATTTGTGTTTCACCTATATTCATATTTTAGTTTTAAGCATATAACTAAATAATCAGAAGACTGTTTTGATTAATGGTAAATATATCTTCCTTAACCATTTTAAGATTATGAACTCCCTAAGACATGAACTTTGACATCCTGATGATATGTCCACAGTGGTATCCAATTAATATTTGATAGAATTAAAAGTAAAATACACATAGTAGCACTCTTTTATGTTCTGCTTTCCCTGTGTTTGAAAGGGGAAAAGTATATAATTTAAAATATTTAATTTTTACTCAGTTAATAATTTTTAATTTTCTTCTCTTTTTTTGAATTAGATTAAAATATTAGAACAGGAAAATGAACATCTGAATCAAACTGTCTCTTCCCTAAGGCAACGCTCCCAGATAAGTGCTGAAGCACGGGTGAAAGACATTGAAAAAGAAAACAAAATTCTCCATGAATCTATCAAAGAAACAAGTAGCAAGTTAAGCAAGATTGAATTTGAAAAACGACAAATTAGAAAAGAATTGGAACATTATAAAGAAAAAGGAGAACGATCTGAAGAACTTGAGAATGAGTTGCATCATCTTGAAAAAGAAAATGAATTGTTACAGAAAAAGATAACTAATTTAAAAATTACTTGTGAAAAAATTGAAACGTTAGAACTGGAAAATTCAGAGCTGGAAAGAGAAAACAGAAAATTAAAAAAAACATTAGATAGCTTTAAAAATCTTAGTTTTCAGTTAGAATCCCTAGAAAAAGAGAATTCCCAACTTGATGAGGAAAACTTGGAATTGAGAAGAAATGTGGAATCCTTGAAGTGTGCAAGCATGAAAATGGCTCAGCTACAATTAGAAAATAAAGAATTGGAGAGTGAAAAAGAGCAACTTAAGAAAGGTTTGGAGCTCATGAAAGCATCATTCAAGAAAACAGAACGCTTAGAAGTTAGTTACCAGGGTTTAGATACAGAAAATCAAAGGCTACAGAAAGCTCTAGAGAACAGCAATAAAAAAATTCAGCAGTTAGAGAGTGAACTACAAGATTTAGAGATGGAAAATCAAACACTGCAAAAAAACCTAGAAGAGTTAAAAATATCTAGCAAAAGACTAGAACAGCTAGAGAAAGAAAATAAATCATTAGAACAAGAGACTTCTCAGCTGGAAAAGGATAAGAAACAACTGGAGAAGGAAAATAAGAGACTTCGACAACAAGCAGAAATAAAGGATACCACATTAGAAGAAAATAATGTGAAAATAGGAAATTTGGAAAAAGAAAACAAAACCCTATTCAAGGAAATTGGTGTCTATAAAGAATCCTGCATTCGCCTGAAAGAATTAGAGAAAGAAAATAAAGAGCTTGTGAAAAGAGCAACGATTGATATAAAAACTTTGGTTACGTTACGTGAGGTAAATAAATATATTTAACTAAATTTAAGGAAAATATTCCTTTTATTTTTTAAGTCAAAGTTCTTGTTTTGTCAGAACCCATTAGTAATTTGCATCATAAGGTTTAGAATGTTGTTGTTGTTATTTGCCGTCGAGTCAGCCCCGACTCATAGCGACCCCTCCTTGGGTTTCCGAGGCAGTATCACTACGGAAGTAGGATT